CTTGATGGTGAATAGCATCCATCCTTTCCGATAACACTTTCACAAACTCTGACACATTCTCGGGCAACTCTTCATAAGGTGGGCGTCCTTTATGCTTGGGTCCCCATTTTGCACTACATGTACTGCATGTCCGGCACCACTCTTCCACATCTCGCCTCATACCTATCCAATAAAATCTTTGTCGTATGTGACTCAATGTCTTCTTGATTCCGAGATGTCCTCCTGTTAAACTATCATGGGATTGACGCAACACAACTTCCCGTAACTTCCCCGGTATAACTGTTTGCCAAGTCGTCACTTTCCCATCTCCGTACAAGAATACCATCTTCAAGCTTTAACTGGTCCCATTGCACCCAATAGTGCTTTATCACAGGGCTTAGACTAGATACCTTCTCCCAAGCAGGGCGCAAAACACTTATTTTTAGGAAATCAATTATAGGCTTCAAATCTTGATCTTTCTCCTGTTCTGCCCTTATATTGATACCTGGTTCCACTTCGTCATCAACTTCTTCAGTCACTTTGACTTCACCTTGATGGCACTTTATCGTCATTTTATCAAAATCAATTACAAACTTCCTTGGTAGTAGATAGTCCAATCCTAATATGCATTCGTCTTCAATGTCAGCCAAGTATACTTTCTGTCTGTCCTTTATGCCCATGAGCTCAATAGTTACCCACACTGGTCCCCACAGTCTTGTAGAATGTCCTGTCACACCATAAAGCTTCTGTATCGCTTCTGGTACTCCTTCGTGATTTAACACCTTGATGCTCACAAGGGTTTGCACGATACACTTGACTTCAACATTCGCGCTAAAACAAATGCTATAATGAACATTAACTTCAACAATACTTTCTCACTGCAGATCAATTACTCACTACCTACACACACATTATTCCGTCACGTTGTCACCCTCTTATATATACCAGACTACCCTATATCTAGTAATCTCCCGAAGGTTTGAGAGAACGAGTGGCGTGACACTAGTCACATGACCTCGCTGACGCAACAGTATAAAAATACTTTTCTTCATCTTATAGTTTTCATATTTCATTTACATAACCTCTAGAACCTCCTAAATGAATATCAAAAGCTTTTTTAAAGGTAAATGTTTATCAATATTGTTTTCATTTTCTTTACCATATCACTAACTAGTTATTATCAATGTACAATGCATTTAAACTATTAAATTAGGAAATAGTAAAAAATACATACCATTAACTTTTTTATATCTTTAAAGACCTTCTTTTTGTTATATTCGTAATTTCAAACCTTTCCTTCTAACTTATAGTTAATTTTTAATGTTTTATTTTCCTTTCTTGTCCTTTACATTTATCATTCATCTTGACACAAGTCAACAGTGTCCTCTGGCAGAGATGCACAACCCTATGGGAAAATTTTTGTGCACTGAATAATATCGTAAGCCTTGAGAACTGATACAAAGTATGATTTATATTTTAAAATATTTAAATCTTTCAATAATGCATTTTAAAACATAAACAATACATAATTAACTAATATATAAAACTAAGACCTAAATACAATTTAACCCTATCACATGGGTCATGGGTCAAAGACCACGTCATTGTGTTTGTTGACTCGCATTTAAAATTTTATTGAACTACTATTTTATGAATTTATGTCATAAGTTTGGTATCAAGTTGTAATTTTAATTCATATTTTAGTATTATACATTAGTTCATTTCTTAATTTAAAAGTAAATATTAAAAACACGCCTAAATATCAATTTTTGTGCATCACATAGTATGTTGAATGTAGCATTGGTTCAAATTAGATGTTGGTGATGTCCAAATACAAAGTCGAGTTTCTTATAACTTAGAAACTCAAATTACCAATATTGACAAGCTAGAATATAAAATAAGAACCTCCTATCTTTTCTATTTGCTGAGATCTCTACATTTACTGAATCAAACACAGTGGGCCCTGCCCACCTCTTTCCATTTTTGGAAACACTTGCTTATGAACACCTACTTCTATGCTGTGTGAAAAACCAATTGAAAGCTCAGAATGTCTCCCAGTGGTTTTATCAGCCTCTTTGAAGTATTCGAGTGGCAAACTATTTTCATGCCAGATTCCAAGCAGTAAGGTAAGACTTTAGTGATCTCAAAATTTCATATATTTTTAAACCCAAATATAACTTAGTTACCAAGCTTGATAAATTATAGTGGAATTCTTTGGTGTTGATATAGTAATTTATGATTTTTGGTTATTTCAAAATGTATATATAAAACCTAAAAAACATTATTTCGTTTCACATCCTCCACATGCAAAATTTGATAAGGCTTAGTACCTAAGGCAAGCAGCAAACAAATACAAAATTCGTAACTAGAAGCAATAACTGTTTGCTATACTTCTTTATTTACTGTTCTATCTTTTAAAAAAAAGTTTAAGGACTTATTTGTAAATAGTGATAATGTATATACATATATAATGTATTATAACTGTTTGCTATACTTCTTTATTTAGTCTTCTATGTTTTAAAAAAATAAGTTAATTTTCTGATGCATAAAATTATTTTTAATCTTAAAATAAAAATTAATTTTCATGTTGGATAGTCAACATTCCAAAAACATCTTAAACCTTAATAATAATATATAAAAAATCTGATATTTTGCATACAAAAGCACCTTGTAATTTTACTGATAATCTGCAAAATTTCATGAAGATATGCTTACTAATTGAAAAGTTATAGCATGAAAACTATAACAAGCACAAAATGGTTACGAAGTCAGTACGTGGGACCTAGCCCATGCTGAGTTAACTCTATCTGTAACTATAACGTAAGTGCTATAGTTGATCAAGCAGCCAACAATACTACAATCAGTAACATGTACTCCAGAACAAAAACTGCAAGACAATTTCAATATAACCACTGTTAGATTAAAGTGTAAAATGAGCTATTTCTAATGACCATATAAATATGTATGTAACCTCTACAAGGAATCTATATAGCTCAAATAAATCTATTGAAGATGGGCATGTCACTAGTCAGGGGATGACAAAATTTATTACTTGTTTCAACTGCATTTACCCAGAGAATTTTGAAATGTACGTGTCAATAGGTTATGTAAACATCTTATTGTCTAGATGTAGATCTACATATCTGGCATTATATTATTAAAGATATGGAGTTCCAATATAGAGAATTTTCATAGCTCCTGGGTCTCGTAATAATATAACTGAAAGTTTAAGTAGATTTTTTTAAAGTTTTTTTTTTAAATAAAGGACTTAAAACTTAAATAACATAAAACTTTGAATCATAACATATACATTATAATGTTAATTTCATTCACATACATTGATAGTAAAGGGGTTTAACTAAATTTTACATTTAACACAGTAACTTGTGCAGAAGTGTTTAAAGGGGTACCCATTTCTAAAAGGTTAAACTTCATATGAACATTAAAGGATAATCACCCCACTCTTTTCATTTATCTGCCAAAGTAACATGTGCTTTATGTAGAGGTTCAAACTTCATGCAAATATTTAGATGACTTCCCCTCTCAATAAACAGAGGAATTGGGCCATGGAGGAGTATGATTTCTTTCTCTCTTTAAATTTATGTTCCAATTATTATTATTACTAATTTTCAAAAACCAGATACCAAGAATAATATTAACTTGTTCAAATAAAAAACAAAACATACTTTAAGTATTCGGGAATTTCTTTCTCCAAAAATGTACAATAGGGAGTATAATAACTGTGAATTGTATATTTTGACAGTAACTAGAAAAATAATTAGAAATGTGCAACCTCCAAGACCAGAATATCTTTTCCAAACATACTATCACAGAAACTAAAATGTACAACATTCAAGAACAGAATCTCTTTGCCAATCAAATTTAGAAATGTACTATCAAAGCAACAGTTTAATAATGACACATTTACCTTGAATCCAAAGTAGTTGTAGTTAAAATCTCGATCATAGATTATGGCAGAATTCAGCCTCTGAAAATAAGTTAACAAAACTGTAATAGATCACATACTATGTCTGGAAACAAAGGCATAAGATACTCATATTTAGTTGGAACAAGTGTCTAACATTATTCTTTGATTACAAAAAACATTTTTATGTATAGATAAAAACACTACAGACAAGTATTAGCTACATTTCACACTTCAAGTTAACTTAAAAAAAACAAAAACACATTTTATGACTAATTACAAATTATCATGAAGGGGAAAGCATAGTAATATTTAAGTTCTATTAGTTATGCATTTTTTTGTTCAGCAATACTTTACCTATCACCAGTTAGTTGAGTTTTTTAAGTATTTGTAATGCCTTTATTTGGAAGATAAGATGAAGTATTCCTCACATTCAAATTCCACTAACTCACCCTGCTATGTATTACAAAACAAAATAATGGAATAAAAACATTATTAACACATAACCATCTGCTTTACTAAAAATCAAGTCTGTACTGTTTTCATGGTAATAAACAACTTCACATTAATATTCACTCACCATGACGCTCTTCACTGATTGATGATTTGTTGACTACCAAATAAAATAATTCTGTTTTCAAGTTACATAATATTTTTATTCAATATGATAAAGTATAAGGATTTTATATTTTTTTTGTTATGAATCTAAAAAAACCTACCTCTATGTGGAAAGCACATTATCATGAACCATGATAGTGGTTCATAATAGAGATCACAATGATTTGCATAAAACCCTAATAGAATGTTTGGGCAAAAAGCAGCTTAAACAGTAAAGATTCAGTTCAAACAATACTGTTACAACAGTGGAAGTCACACGACACTGGTAACATGTCATGAGATTCTCGAAGGATCTTGACTTTTCCTGGCAACTCTATTCTGTTCTAGGCACCCTCTTTTTTGTA